GGTGTATCCTGTGCAGAATGACAAAATGCCAATTTATTTATTACTAAAGCCTCTATAATATTTATTATAGCATCATGAATCTTCACACAGATAATGTCCACATGTGGATTTATGGTTTCCAAGAGATTTTAGTCCTATTCATTATGGATTAAAAAGGTTATATATTGTCCAATACAAAAAAAATMTTCAGGTGGGAGAGGAAAAACTAATATGTTCCGTCTTTAATATCTCTAAAACAATAGCAGCTGCTTTAATACTTCCACCTTTGATGAAATCTCTTAAGTGTTWGCTTTATTTTGATACCAAGATTATTTAAGTAGARTTTGTAAATGCTGAGATACACTCAGTTACATTTCGGCAGGGTATTTCAAGCAAAAACATCAAGAAAACCCCTAGGGGCTGAACAGACCAGTAGGTCTGTCACTGCAGACTTGAGAGTAAAAAAAMATATAAATATCACATCCTTGTGTCAGTGCTTAGGTTCTATTTATTTTTTCAGCATCAGATTTCAAATGTCCTCTCTCTTCATGCAACTTTACTCAAACTAAAACAAACTTTGTTTAAAACAGATGTTTATTCTACAGCATGAAGCATGTTATTATGTGTTGATGCAGATTATTGGGTCCGGTTTCAGTTTAGACACCAACACTCACATTTAAGCCCAACACGCCAAAATCAGTGGCATCACGTGAGAGACGCTGACGTTCAAAGCGACATGCTAAAAGCCTAAAATGAGCTTTCTGCGGGTTTTGTGTGAAAGCCAATTGCAGGCTGCAGTGAGATGAAACTGTTTTAATTATTACTCGGTCAGCATGTTTCGGTCATGCTGACAGCCATAAAGCTGTGTGTCAGAAGCCACCGCTATAACATTTACTTGCCCGGCTCACGAGCCCGTCTGCACRGCAGCTGCTGAAAATGTGCATTTGGGAGCTGAAATGTTTTCGTAATGGGTTTCACGTCAACAAAATCTCACCAGTTGTGTGGCAAGTACAGAATAGGATTTTAATAGTGGGACAAGGTGTCAGGCAAAAAATCCTGTGAGCGTCAAGAATTACAGGAGGAAAAACTGTGAGTGCTTRGGGTCCGGAGTTTCTGCAGCTTTTTATGCTTTGTGT